GGATGGATGAGTGGATGGATGAGTGGATAGATGAGTGGATGGATGGATAATGGATGGATGGATGGACAGATGAGTGGATGGATGAGTGGGTGGATGAGTGGATGGATGGACGAATGAGTGGATGGATGAGTGGGTGGATGAGTGGATGGATGGACGGATGAGTGGACGGATGATTGGGAGGATGAGTGGATGGATGGAGGAGTGGTTGGATGAGTGGACAGATGATTGGGAGGATGAGTGGATGGATGGAGGAGTGGTTGGATGAGTGGATGGATGAGTGGATGGATGAGTGGATGGATGAGTGGATGGGTGAGTGGATGGATGAGTGGATAGATGAGTGGATGGGTGAGTGGATGGATGAGTGGATGGATGAGTGGATAGATGAGTGGATGGATGAGTGGATGGGTGAGTGGATGGGTGAGTGGATGGATGAACGAGTGGATTGATGAGTTGATGGATGGATCAGTGGATGTATGTATGGATGGATGGATGGATGGATGGATCAGTGGATGGATGAGTGGATGGATGGATCAGTGGATGGATGAGTGGATGGATGGATGAATGGATGGATGGATGGATGGGTAGATAGATGATAGGTTGATGGACAGATGGGATTCAGGAGATTCAGTAATTTCCATAAGACTTCCCAACTCATACATCATAGCCTAACAATCATACTCAGTTCTATTAATTCCAAGTCCAAAATTTTTCATACTAGTTACTAGTTTCATACTAGTTTTTGAGGAGGGTGTTCCTGAAGTTGCCATCACTGTCCGTGGGCCTGTCACTGGCCAGAACTCACTCCTATGGACACACCTAGCTGCCAGGGAGGCTGGGAACCAGATTCCCTCCCGGGAGTTGTGAGTCAGCTACCACCTGAGCTCTCTCACTATGGAAGGGAAGAGAAGAAAGTGGGGGACATCTGGCGGTTTCTGTCAAATGTCTTCAAACCACAAAACCATTACTTTTTCAAAACAATCTGATCAAGCTGGTGCATTAGCCCACGCCTGTAATCCCAGCGGCTGAGGCAGGAGGTTTTCAAGTTCAAAGCCATCCTCAGCAAAAGCAAGGCGCTAAGCAACTCAGTGAGATTCTGTCTCTAAATACAAAACAGGGCTGGAATGTGGCTCAGAGGTCAGATGCCCCTGAGTTCAAACCCCAATAAACCCCCCCCCCAAAAAAAAGATCTGATAGATCACATTAAAAAAGAACTCATTTTCCTGAAAACCAGATTCTGAGACTACGTGAAACGTAATTGGCTGAGGAAGGTTTATACTGAGGGAGAAAGGAAACACTGGGCTTCTTTTTTTGCATCTTCTGAATAAAACAGCTTTTCACACACATAAAGAATTGGACCCCACCTGTTTACAGCCTCCCCTTGAGCCCCTTCCCCTTCACCCACCGTATCTACCCAGGTCAGAAAACCTCCCTGGCTCCCCAGGGCCAGCTGAAAACCGCCCTGTTCAGCGGCGTCTGACTCCGAGTCCGTCTCCCCAGAGGCTCGTGACATGTAGAGAGCCACCTGCTGGCTCACAGGGACCCAAGGACGAGCTCAGCCACCGCTCCACGGGTCTGTTAGGAGACTCAAGGCTCCGCGTTTGGAAGCAGTTGCTCCCTGAGCTCCCTGCTGGCTAATGGGGTCTTTTCCTGTGGACTCACCTTGTGCCCGGACGAGGGGCCCCCAGGACATCTGCTGCACTTCGGAGCCTCGACTGCGTCTCGGTGACCGGAAGTCATTGCAGCTCTGTGGTTTGTTTAAAGGAGAAAAGGTCAAAACAGTGGCGCAACACCATGGGGATTGACTCCCTCTCAGGGAGGGCGGTCACCTGGGAGGGCTCTGTCCTCTGGGTCATCAGGTCCCTGGTGGGTAAGTCTAGACGGGGCATGGGAGCAGCGGGAGACCAGATAGCGGGACGTGCCTGGGACAGGAGGAGCAGAGCACACCAACCAGGGAGGTGGAGGACCCTGGCCCTGGGACCTTCCCACCAAAGTGGCTGCACCTCAGGGGAGGCTGAGTCCCCCATGCCTCCTCCAAAGGCTGCTGCCGCCAGCGCTCCTCTTAGAGCCTTTGCCTTACAGACAGGTGCCTGCGCTGGGGCTGTGGACAGTCGGCTCACTCTGCCTGCCATGGTGGCTCTGGTCCTCCACAAGCGCTGACTCCTAAGCCCAGCGCATGTCCCTGAGACCTTCTCAGGTTCCAGTGGCTCACAGGGCTCTAGTCCTGTATGGCTGGTGTCCTTATGAAAAGGGGACACCTGGACACAGAGACAGACACGCACAGAGGAAGAACCAGTCTCCAGGCCAAGGAAAGGCTGAGGCTGGGCGGGCCTGGGCAGAGCTCCCTCTCGGCCCAGGAGGGAGCAGGCCTGGCCACACCTTCTGACCCCGGCTGAGACAGGGGGCTTCTGATTCGTCCTCTGTCCTGTTTGTGGCACCTTGTGACAGCACCCCTGGAAATGAATGGATGCCCGTTCTGAGGAGCTAGGGGAGACCTGTGTCAAGGTCAGACCACACAGAGCACAGGACTGGCGCTTCCTGCCGAGGGAAACTTGTGGCTGTGACCTTCTCGTGACTTTTGAGGACCTAATGGTCCAGGTGGGCACAGGAGTGTACCCCTCAGCACCTGTCACAGGGAATCTACTGTTTGAGAAAAGGTGGCTTTAACTCAGTCGGCCACATGGTGCTTCTTCTCTTATCCACGACCTGCCAACAGGCATGGGTGGAGCCCAGGAGCAAGCACATCCTCCAGAGGAGAGACGCCCCCGCACGTCGTCTGAACAAAGGGCCCGCAGAGCCGGCTCCTCCTCGGGCAGCGCGTGACCACACGTGGGTCACTCTGCCTGTGACTGGTCTAGAGAACAGCTCTGAAACTCAGGATGGCAGCGCACCTTGCGGATTCAATGGTATGAGGAAGGGAGACGTCAAGCTATTCACACTCCCTGCGAGAATGTTGGGCACAGGGAGGGAAAAATCCACCGCCGCGTCTGATATTTGGTCACGTTCGTCAACGTTGAGAGTCCACACCAGGCTAAGGAGCACTTCTGTGCCTGAGTGTCCAGCACAGCCTCAAGGTTGTCCAGCCAGCCACACACCCCAGGTGCCCCAGCTCTCCCTGGGCCTCCGCTGCACTGCCTCCTTCCAATACCAACCTGCACAGCCCAGTGTCCCCAGTCAGATGCCCCTGAGCCCCAGCTCTTATTAACAGAGCTGCTTCCTCATAACAATTCGAACTCGTGCCAACCGTGAGCCAAGGAGCACAGACACTTACTATCTTGCACGTGGCTCTGGGGGACTCCACGCAGACACGCAGCCTGCAGTGCAGGTAGACCACGGAGTTATTGATGAAGGAGAAGATTCTCAGCTTAAACTGGGCCTTGCTGGAGTTGCCGTTCTCGATCACACTGGTGTAGGTGTTGGGGACGGGGCAGCTGAGGGGGGAAACGGGGGGGGGGGAGGCGTCTTAGCACACGCAGGCCCTGCTGGCCTCTCAGGTGGCTCCCTCGTGACTGTGTCTGTCTGCGTCCCCCAGGCCCTGTGGGAGTCACCAGGTCCTCTGAACCAGGTTACATCAGTGTTGGCCTGGGAATTCCAGGAGTCCCCAGCAGGCGACAGGCCAGGTGGGCAGCGGGTGCAGCACCCCCTGAGCCCTACCTGTTGTTGATGAAGCTGAAAGTGACGGGGTCCCGGGCGTTGCTGGAGGGGGTGGCCCAGCACTCCGTGAGGACCACCTTGAGCTTGCTGTTCTGTCTGCAGAGCCCCACCTCGATGGTGATGTCTTCGCTGGCCGACACACTGTGGTTTGGAGGGATGGGAGAATCTCCGATGAACAGCTGCATTTCGGTGACAAAATTCCCAGCGCCGTGGAGGTCCTCGAGGATGGTGTGAACGCTGCAGGAGGGAGCGGCACTCAGGAGGGTCCTTCTGCCACACCCTTGACCCATGCCGCCTCCAAAAGCAACTCCAAAGAAGTGTGGGAATCGATGAGAACCCCTCAGTAGAGCAGATGGGGGCTGTGGGCACAGATTGGCCACCTGGGTCGGCCCCCCGCCTGTGTTGGCAGAGACTCCTGGGCAGGGGCAGCGGGCAGAGAGCTCACAGGAATGGAGCCCCAGGGGTGCCTCGGGGAGGCTGGGCCTCCTTGCTGCTTGACGAGGGGTGCATACTTAGCTCCTCTGGTCAATCCTAAATTGGACTGTGACAGGATTGGGGAAGCTGACAGTATTAATCCGGCCCCAGCCACTGTTTATGTATATAGTCAACCTCAAAGAAGGGTCTCAAATGGTTGAAACCATAAAGACTCCTAAGATCAAGGTGCTAGGGAGGAGCTGGCGCCGTGGAGTGGCCAGAGCGGCCTGACACTCACCCCCACTCTGGGGCGTAGCCCAAGGAAGTCAGGAGGTCATTCTGGAAGGCACAGTGGATGGGACTGAGGATCTTCGGGTGGTGGATGATTCCCTCTGGGGACAGGTCATTCCTCAGCATGGTCCTCACTACAGTGTTTGTCACATTCTAGGGACAAACAGGGACGTAAGTGAGCTCCCAGGGTCCAGAAGGCTCCTGACTGAGCTGCAGGCCTCGGCTCTGGGTGCTGCTGGGGTTCTTTTTAAAGCTTACCCCCAAAAGTGTAAAACCCCTGATGACCGTTTCCTGATGTAGATTGCAAAGAGAGCAGGAGCCTTGGCTTCTGCCTCCAGCCGCGTCCCCCCAGAAGGAGGCACGCCCCGCCAACGGCACACAGTCCTCTGCATTGGTGCAGAGAAGTCCCCAGGGAAAGCTTGGCTCCTGAAAACCCTCAAAACCCCTTGAGAGGTCCTGGGCTCGGAGCAGGCAGGGGTGGTGGATCTCCCTTCCTCGGCGGGCCCTGAACCTGCTGAATGCCGCTGACACACCAGGGGATCAGCCGGCTGAGAACTCAGGCCTCCATCTCCAGGCCCCTCCACTGTCCCCGTAGGAGACACTGACTTGGGGGGCACCAGCTGGCGTATAAACCACACCCACGCGCCAGGTGGACACAGGCCTCTGCTGGTGGCACTTAATGCCTGCTCTGTGGCCAGTGCTACCTTGGGCCTGAGAACCCGGCTGCCATCTGCCAGGGCCCCCAGCTCACAGGACGCAGAGTCCTGGCTCAGGACGGGGCTGCCGAGAGCTGCCGGCCCCCCCCAGCGACCCACTCCCCACAGCAGCCCTGAGGCTGAGGCTGCTGCTCGCCTCCCTCCGAGCCCCCCTAGATGAGTCTTCTTGAGTGTGTGAGTTGAGGGCTGGAGGGGGCGTGGGGGGTGGTCTCTGCAGCCACTGGGATCCTGCAGGTGGCTCCTGACCTGGGCTTTGAGAAAACAGTCGTGCTGCACAGACACCGAGCCTGCAGACAATGCGCACTCTGCAGTGGCCTCCACTCTCCCGGCTGACCACGCCTTCCTGCCCCTCCAGCCCACTCCACACCCACCACCATGTTGTCCCTTGAGTCTACCTCTCCTGTCTTTGTCCCCGCCCGGCCTCCAGGGTCCACCTCACTGGACCCACAGACCTGCTGAGCCACCAACCTCAGCCCTAAACTGGCTAACACTCCTGGGCCCAGAGTCAGGGGACTAAGTGTCATTTGCACCTGCGACACCCACTCTGCTCAGGAGTTGGGAGGATAAGGGCATGTGGCCCTCCCGACCCTTTCTTCTAGAAAACAAGGCCTTGCTTCATTGCTTTCCAGGCCTCCAAGGACAAAGCCCAGGACCCTGGTTCCTGCCCTGATGTCAGGAACTGCCATCTCTCGTCTTCCCTGGCAAGGACGTCCTTACAGCCCTCAGCTCCTCGGTCAGCTGCCGCACCCCTGCTGACCGTCCCCTCCGTCCCACCCCTCACACAGCCGTCCCGGGCCTGCGGGGCAGTCCACCCTGCCGTGCCTGCTGCCAGCCAGGCCCAGCAGCCGCTGGTCTGAACCACAGCTGAACTCCCCTGAGAGTTTTCTGTCTCCTTAATGCCATCGCGGCCACCTCCCCTCACCCCATGGGACTACCTGGGCCTTCCCCTTCTAAGAGGAGACCCTTCCCAAAGGGCTCCCCTTGTCCAGTGCCCGCCCTGCCAGAGGCCCCTTTTCCACCCAAAGCCAACACAGGCTCCCAGTGAAGACGGTGGCCCTCCACAGGGCTTAGGCATGGCCCTGTACCCCAGCCCACCCGAGAGGGTCCCTGCACCACTGCATCTTCTCTGATGGCACATCCCTCCAGGGGGCAGCCCTGCGCCTGGGGCTTGGCCCTCGGTTGGACTCAGGAGGACCCAGCCCTTCCCCAAACAGGCTTCGTGTTGAAACGGGGAGAAGAGGGAGAGCAGGGCCCACGTGGACATGGAGACCGCCTTCCAGGAAGCAGGACCTGGGCCCAGGTGCCCACGTGGACCCCGGGACCTCCTGCCCAGAGTCACCCGAGGGGCAATGTGCACAGGGATGCGAAGGTCTGCAGCCCAGGAGGACACTCTCCCAGACCACGTCCCAGTCCAGAGCCTTGAGCTCCCCGCAAGACCTGGAGCCATGTTCCTCTGACGGAGTCACTCTGACAAGTGCCACCACAGCCCCACCCCCACAGTGGCCATGCACACTCACCCATATAAACACACACTCACAGTGAACATGCACACTCACCCATACACACACACACAGTGGCCATGCACACTCACCCAAAACCACACACACACACAGTGGCCATGCACACTCACCCATACACACACACCCCCACAGTGGCCATGCACACTCACCCATACACACACACCCCCACAGTGGCCATGCA